CATTATTAATTTTTTTTTTTTTGCTGTGCCCTATTCAGTGACTGAATGAATAAATGAATGAATAATTCTCAGGCTTCCTCTCTCAGTATGAGACACTGTACCCCAGTGCTCCCCAGATCTCCCTATGCACATGAATCGCCCAGGGGATCTTGTTAAAATGCAGATTCAGGGTCAGTGGGTCCGGGGTGGGGCCTGGGAGTCTGCCCTGCTGACGAGCTCCCAGAGGATGCCGAAGTTGCCCTTCACAGCAGTCGTTGTCCTGAACAATCTGGACAGCCAGGATCGGGCAGCCTGCCTGCAGGGCTGGGGTAGAAACCTCCAGGAATGCCATCCTAGCGTCTGGACTCCCAGTTTCCAAGCATCAGGACACACGGGTGGCGCACACAGTCTTCTCATCGTTTTCCAAAAACAAAAAAAGTGGTGTTTGATTCCCTACACGTATTCATCCAAATTCATCCAAAACTCATCATCGTGCAACTACTATGTGCCAGGGCATTAGGGGAGAGGAAAGATCACGACAGATGCTGACAAGGATGTGGGGGAGGGAAACACAGGAATTCTCGGGGACTTTTGAAAGTTGGGGTGCAGGGGACTCCTAGGGAGCATGTACCAGAGGCTCCTACCTCATCTGCCCTGAAAAGTCGCCATGCAGCTGAGACTCGAAGGAGAACCAGGAAGTGGCCAGAGTGAGGCCTGGGGATGCATGTGCAAGGCTCCGGGCGCGTGCGTGGGAAATGGCCAGAGTCTGAGCACGTCTGCAGCGAGGCGGGCGAGGAATGGCCCATCAGCCAGAGGCAAGCAGCTCCCCACGCAGTGGGAATGCCCGGAGGGTTTCAGGGAGAGAAGGTCAAAAAGAAAGGACGCCTCTGGGTCTAGGAGGTGGGACAGGGCAGGAAGAGCAGCGAAGAGGCAGTGGAGAAGGTCGTGGTGAGAGATGTCGGGCAGGGAGATTTGGAAGGTAAAGAAAGAAAGGAACAAATAAGAGAGGTGTTTAGGAGATGGAATAGACAAGACTTGCAAACTGATTGGATGTGAGGAAGGAAAAAGGAGAGGAGCTAAACATGATTTTTGGCAAATTATTCAACAATGCCAGAGAATTCCGACCAATTCCAGCCAATTCTCGCCAACTTCGTCTAATAATCCCATCCGGCCCTAGCTACGGTGTTTGACATCAAGTGAAACATGTAGGTAAACATAATGGGCATCCTAAGTCGGATTTGGAAACAACAAAAGAAAACACTGGATAAAGCCTGGAGTTGGGTTAATGGCATCGTACCTGTGTTCGTGTCTCAGTTGGGTAAGATGTTAACATTAGGAGAATCGGGCGAAGGTGGCCAGGAGCTCTCCGCGCCATCTCTGCAACTTGTCTGTAAATCTAAATTCATTCCAAAATAAAGTTTATTTAAAAACAAAAGTGAAGGAAAAGAAAAAGAGGTAGAGGACAAAGAGGTGGAAACTTCCAGATCAGAGAATATAGTGAATTAGTGAAAACAAACCCTTCCCACGATAGCCATGCAGAAAAGCCACACGAACTCTCGCAAACATCCTGCCGAACTGAGCTTCCAAGAAAATGGGCTGGGGGGGTTGCCCAGGGGTCAGAAACAAAGGTGAAGGCCAAAGCAGCCAGCATGTCACTCCAGAACTCTGCACGGGACGTCAACCTCGGGAATGCAGGGACTTGGGTTTTAACACTCACGTGGGGGTAGCAGGTGAAGCCGGAGCCAGCGGAAGCGGGGAATTGAGACTGACACGCTTTCTCAGAGCAGAGACTCACGAAGAGTTCCACCTTCGGTGCAAGGAAGGCCAGGGGAAAACCTCCTCCTCCTGTCAGAGAGAGATGACAAAGAAGTATGTGCTTCATCCTAAACTCAGGGAGGAAAGTGCCAGACTCCCCTTCTGCACTGTTCTTTGATGAGGTCCCTGCCGTTAAATTTAAACACAGTACTAGGGCAGAGCCTCCAGTGCTTTTAAGTCCTGGGTTTTTAGTAGTAATACATTTTAACTCTAAAATTAGACAAATAACCCAAACTGTACTTCTAATTAGCTGTGTGGGCTGTGGCTTGATTTTTGTTAAAGAAAACACAGATAGGCTAAGACGTGTGGGTGTGCACCGCGGTGCTCTGGGTCGCGGCGCCGTGGGACTGTTTGACATCGCTGGGGTCCCGCCTTCCGTCCGGGACGCGCTTTCTCAACCTTGGCGCCACTGACGTTTCGGATCCCGTCACTGTCGTTGCGGGGAGACGTGCACTGTCAGATGTGTAGCGGTGGCCTGGCCTCTACCCACGCGATGCCAGTAGCACCCCCACCCCCAGTTGCGACCACCGAAGATGTCTCCGGGCATTGTCCAATGTCCCCAGGGGGGCAGAGTTGCCCCTCACTGCTCGAGGGTGACTAACCATTCCAGTGTTCTGGGAACCGTAGGGGGACCTGGAATGTGGGATTTTCGGTTTTAAAACTGGGATAGTCCCGGGCACGCTGGGATGGGTTGGTCACCCTACTTCCATCTCTAAGGTGAGTATTTAGGATGCCAGGCAATTTGGGGATGAGTGGAAGTGGGGGAAGCGATGTAGCACCAGCATAAACTGTGCTCCTGGTGAGTCACTCCAGCCCTCCCTGGACAAACTTAGCTACTTGTTCTCACCAACAAGTGTCCTTGGTTACAAGTGGAACGATGAGAATGATTTGCAGCTTCTCACCCAAGCTAAGCAAGAAGCTGCTGCAAAAGTAGACGCCAGGGAGTGATTCGGTTGAGGCTGTCTGTGTGGTCGGCAGTGGCAAAACTCCCCACAAAGAGCTCGAGGACACTCAGCCTTACAAAGGGTCCCACGGCCCTCTCGGCCAATGCCACTTTCAGGCAGGGGGGCGATGTCCTCCCAAACCCATGCTCCCCATCAAGAAAGGAGGAGCCTGAGGCCCCGAGAGCAGCGGGGACAGGCCGGGGATGCCACACCCGCCCACCTCCGCAAGCGGAGCGTTGCCCTTGCCGTATAGAAGAGGGTTGAGAGAGCAAACTTGGAGCCAGCTGGCTCCAGTTTGGGTGCTGGTGCGCGCTGGAGGACAGTTGGCCAGGACGGTGGGATTGACCAGGACCCTTCAGCACCGCCGCTGGGGGGGCGGGGGGGGGGGCGGCGCTGGTTCTGGTCAAATGGGAGAACCCAGTGGCTCTGACCAGCCCTGGGAAGCATGGCTGGAACAGCCTGCCTGGCGTAGCCCTCTTGATCAAAGCAGCCGTCCCTTTCCTTCCCCCAAAAAATGCACAGAGGCACACACGCACACGCACACGCACGCACACACACACACACACACTCTTTTGACTTTGCATTTTTATTTCAGGGGATTCACTAGACCTCTAAAGCCCATCAAACCAGGTTATAAAACTGTGAGCTAATCACTAATAATCATACAATTACACAATCCATCTGTATCAAGAACTGGGTGAATTTATTTGGCCCAATGAATGGGCCCAGCAACCCTGGTATGATAAAGACCATTAACCATTCTTAGCCCTGTCGATTTCCCATGATGACGCATCACACGGACTTTGGAGTTAGGGAGGCCTGGGTTCAAATCCCTACTCTGCCACTTGTTTGCAGGATGACCTTGGACGAGTCACTTAACCTGTCCAAGCCTCAGTTTCCCTCCATGAGCTTAGCACATCATAAATGCTCAGTGAATGCCGTCCACTACTTTATTATTCCACGAGCTTAGCCAACCACTATAGTGGCTCGAAGGCAAAGATTCCACAGGAGGGTGGCTTTCATCTACCCTTGGGTGGGTGGCCACAAAAGGGACCCCAGAGATCAGCTAGTTTGATGGTCAAGAAGGGAAAGAATGTGCCAGAGTCCCACGGCAGGACAGGTACAAAGCCAGGACCAGGCTCCAGGCTTCCCAGCCCCAGTCTAACGAATTTCCGCCCGCCCCCTGCCTGCCCCACAGGTGAGCATCTGACCTGACACGAGGAAGCCTCGCAGCCTGCCTTCCCTGCCAGTCATCCTGAGTCGTGGTTTCCAAATAAAGCATCTCCTAAAAAGCCTTCAGAGGGCTGAGACTTGAGAGAGCTTTATTATCTCAACCATGGGGTGTTTGTTTGCTTTTTTTTAAAAAAAAAAAATCTATTCCTTTTCAGAATTAAGGAAAAATCCTAAACCCCAGGAGTTCAATGGGCAGAAGACACAAGTAGCCTTGGCTATAGTTTGTCAACAAACACGTGGGGAAAAAATGTGCATCCTCGCCAGATAGCCCAGAATTGCAAATCAAAACCAGATAACCATTTTTTGCTTATAAAATTTGCAAAGATCACCATGAAATTGATAACACTGAGCATCAGCAAGGGCTCGAGGAGACGAGCTCTCTCAGACAGTGCCGTGGGCGCATAAATTGCTTTCAGGAGGCAATTTAGCAAATTGTAACAAAGCCTTAAAAACCTCTCCTTAGAAAACCATCAGAAATGCCGCAAAAGCTCTGTGCACAAAGCTGTTCATGTCAGAATTATCTGTAATAGTTTTAAAAAATAGGGAAGCAATCTAATTATCCAAAAATAAGAGAATGATTAAATAAACTCTAAGAGGGTCACTCAGTCAGTAGAGGATTCAAGAGCTATTTAAAACAAAGCTTACAAAAACGTACAATGACATGGGAGCAATGTTCACAGCCTTTACTCTTTAGAAATCAGAATTCTGCCTGGTATACAGAGTACGATATATCACAATTTCATTTTTAAAAATCACTGCAAACAAATGTGACATGAGGAAAAACGTAGCGAAGTATTAACATCTTCCAAGTGTTCTATGATGAGCATATGTTACTTTTATTATTTTGTCGGATTTAGGTATGTGTGTGTGTTTTGGCCCTCAGGCATGAAATTGCATTGCTCATAATGGGATGTGTTTCACGTGGACATAGTCTTCACGTGGACACGGTCTTGAAAATATGTGCTGAACTGTGGAAAATATGTCAGCCCTGCAAACCTTCCTCCCGGTCTGTTCGCTCTCTGCCCCCAGCCCTGCCTGAGCTGCCCCAGCCCGCCCTGTGCCCCCTGTTCTGGATGGAGTTCAAAGGCCACTGCTATAGATTCTTCCCTCTCAATAAGACCTGGGCCGAGGCTGACCTCTACTGTTCGGAGTTCTCCGTGGGCAGGAAGTCCGCCAAGCTAGCCTCCATCCACAGGTGAGGGGGAGAGTGGGAGCCCGGCCCTCCGTAGTCCAGCTTAGCACGCTTTTGGGAAACGGGGTGGAAATGGTGTTTCCAACTGACGTTTCTCTTTGGCAATTAAAGCTTTTTTTTTTTTTTTCCCCACCTGTTATAAATGGAGTTCGGTTCTCATAAAGCTAAGAACTAGTATAAAATTCCTGGTTTCATCTCATCTTTGAGGCATAATCCAATTCGAAATAGCATTTTCTTCATGCCTTTTCATTTTCGTTTCTTTCCCTCATAATTAAGCACACAATCAGCTTATGTGCACAGAACATCTGATTAAAGTTTAAGATTTTCATACTTTTCGGTTTACCTAATAATTTCCATTTCTGCTTCCAGTGACGGTTGAATCGAATTAAGTTCGTTTCATCTCAGCTTCTTATTACTTGCAGCAGCACCTTGGGCCTTTCGGTTTTCCAGTTTATTTTGATCAGATATGGGGGGAATGCAATAAGATATTCAAGTAGTTCATCCAAACAGGTGCTGTTGAGCAAAGATGGTGATAATGCTGAAATGACTAGGCTGCTGTTCTACCGGGTGACTGCTCGAAAACGCATGTTCAGCAGTTGCCAAAGGAGAGCCCGAACAGTGCAGGAGAGAGGCATTTGTGGGTGCCATTGCTTACCCAGCTGGGTAGGACCAAGGTTAGAAACCACTGGACTGAAGAATGCTTTGTGCCCAGAAATCTTATCACTCTCATGTGGGACGGAACACAGGCTCTCAGAGCGCCAGCGTTGAATAGAGCCTGGCGATGGTGCAAGGGAGAAGGTGCCAGATAGAAATGAGATGTGATGTCGGTCTGTGTGTCCTTGAAGCTCATTTGAGGATGCCAGATCTTGAAAATGGAGAACTAAACCAGCCAGCCAGCCACTGGGAGGACAGGCAATTTGGGCTACAGGCAGTCCAATTTTTAGGGATGCATAGTAGTACTGAATCCTTCCTCGAGCTGGCATGGGTCAAATCCAGAGATGCCCAGGTGAGGACGGCAATATATGGGTGACCTAATCAAAAATGAAAGCACAATTGCATTGTATCCTCTATTTACTTTGGTCCAGGAAGGTTAGCAAGGATTGCTTTCAGCTTCCAATTCTATCCTATGAAAAGAGGCAAGGAGGGACGTGCTACTCTGTTTCTTACATTTGCAGCTGGGAAGAAAATGTCTTTGTGTATGATCTCGTGAACAGCTGCGTTCCTGGCATCCCGGCTGACATCTGGACGGGCCTTCATGATCACAGACAGGTGAGGAAGCAGTGGCCATCGGGCTCCCTCAGAAGCTCCAGCCAAGATTCCGTGTCGACTTAACAAGCCTTTCATGTGTGCGCCAGGCCAGTGCTATGCACACAGCTTGCAGAGAGAAACCAGACCCCACGATGCCACAGTTAGAATGTGACACATTTGTGAAAGACATTTAATGATGTCCCACTAAATGAGGAGAACATATAGTATGGGCAGTAAAGGCCTCTGTTTTGACTTGAGTTGTCTTAAAAACAAGCACCAAAACACAATAAGATGTGCAAGAGATTTTTGAGGGGTAATATCTGTGAAAGGAAAAAGAGGAAGGGGCATACATAGGCAGGAAAGGTCCTCGGACGACGACGTGGGTCTGAGACCTGTGAAAGGAGAGTGGGGAGGACGGACTGGGCGGGAAGAGCCTCAGATCACAGCACAGTTCCGAGAAGGTCTTGGCCTGGCCAGTGGGGAGTCCCATGCAAAGAATGCCCAGAGCAGACAGCCGGCACGGGGCAGCAATGGGCCCAGACTGGCATCCGTGACGTGCTGAGTCACTGTCTGGGAACAGCCCAGAGGAAGCGTGGGCTCACTGAGAATGCAGTCGAAGCTCCGAAGGGGCAGAAGCAGCATGTCCTCAGCACGAACAAGGTGGTGAGTCCAAAGTGGCAGGAGAGCTGGGGCTGCCCGTCAGCTCTGCTCCCTGCAGCCGGCCCTCCTGAAGGTGATCTGAGCTGCGCACCTCCGTGACTGCCACGGCCTCTCTGAGCAAGGGACATTGGAGCTAGTACCTAACACATAAATAGGAACCAACCAAAGGTAGAGCACTGCAGGTAGAGGGATCAGCAAGGGCCAAGGTCCTAGGTAGGGGACATCGTGGGCATTCAAGGAAGCGGAAGAAGACCAGCGTGGCTGGGATGCAGATTGGGGTAGGGGCGAGCAGAATAACGGAGACTAGGCTGGAGAGGCTGGTGTGGCCAGATCTCATGCCTGGCGATTCCCAAACTCCACCTGGAGATTTCAGCCCCAAGGTTTCCCCAGGCAAGCTGCAACCCGAGTCTCTACTCTGCACGTATGATTCTTGCCCTGCCCCAGAGCACTACAGAGAACAGAGTCCAGTTCCAGCTCCTGTTCTGCCCCTTACTGGCTAGTGGGCAACTGCCCACTGCTAGTGGGCAACTTTGGGCAATTTTTAAAACCTGTCTGAGCCTCAGTTTCTCCATCTGTAAAATGGGGATGATGATAATAGTGCCTTCTTGTAAAAATACAGGTGAGCCAATGTAGGCAAAGGGCTTAGCACGGTGCTTGGCACACTGTAAGAACTCATTGAGAGTGGTGGGAGTTGCTAAAGTCTCTGCTAATGTAGCAGAAGTAGCAGGATGGTCAGACTCAACATGGATATTTTTTAAATCAATAGAATTCATCTGGTAAGAACCCATGTAGAAGTTGTGATTTAAAAAAAAAACACTCACATTTCTATTTATAAAAGCAACTTAAACTTGGATTTTAACTACATTAAATCAGAGTTTAAGGAACTTGTATAATAATAATAACAACAGCAACAAACAATATAGGAAAAGGGCTTTTTCTCTCTCTCTCTCTTCATGGCTAGGCACCTGTGCCAGGCACTATGCTAAGTCTTTCACATGATTTAATTCGTTCAACCCTCACAACAACTTTCTGAAGAAGATATTAGCTCCATTGTATAGGTGTGGAAACTGAGGCTCAGAGAGGTTAAGTAACTTGAGATAGGATCTCAAGCTCTTGTCTCTCTGTTGGAAGTAGCAGTCCATTCCCATTATATGACATGGGCTCCATAGTCACCAGGGCTTTGGGGGGGGATACTTTTCTAAAAACCTAAACAGAGAAATGGCCCTTCTTCCTGGATGTTGCAAAGATGTTCTTTCTGTAGTTAATGTGCACATGTGTTGCAACACCAATCAAATTCTCAATAGGACTTTTCTTGTCATTGGTCAGAGTAGTTCCATATGAGGCAAGAAAAGCACAGACTATTTATACAAAAAGGAAAGACATGAAGAGTGACTCCCATCCACTGACAAAGTTAGGATCTGAGTACTAGAGTCCTGAAGACCTGGGTTTGAATCCCAGCACTAATGCTTTATTAGCTATCTGAATTTGAGGCCAACCTGAGTCTCAGTTTTCTCATCTGTAAAATGGGGATGATGATGGCTGCTTTGCAGGATGGTGAGGATAAAATGAGCAAAGTGCCTTACATGGCACATAATAAGTCCTTAACAAATGACAGCTAGTAATAGTAGTAGCAATGGCAGTAGTATCTGATTAGTAGCAGTAGTATCAGTGAGGACTTCTGCAACACAGGTGTTAGGTGTGGAGGTGCTAGAATGTTATCCCTGAACTGGAGCTGGCTCAAATGCCTAACCTTCCCCTCCTTGGCTTGCTTCCTTGTCTCTGGGTGGACGCCCCCTCCCCCCCCCCAGGAAGGGCAGTTTGAATGGACCGATGGCTCATCCTATGACTACAGCTACTGGGACGGGAGCCAGCCAGATGACGGCATCCACGCGGACCCAGAACAGGAAGACTGCGTGCAGATGTGGTACCGGCCTACCAGCGGTGGGTATCCCTGCGACCAGGGCTCCTGCAGAGATGCTGGGGAGACGCTTGGGACGGCAGGGAGACTGTCAAGATGTTCAGCACCTTGGAGAGCGATCGGAGGGCTTTGGGGTGTTATCCATTCTCCACAGTGGATATGTTTTAAGCGGTATTTAATGGTGTATTGTTGACACGCAGACTCCGATTTGGATGAAAAGACATTAGAGATAGAAGCATTAAAAAAAAAAAAAAGACTTGTACAGAGTATAGTCCAAGGGCAGTGCTTCTGTGTCAGCTTACCAATGCATCAAGGTGCAAGTCCCCACCCCAGGCTCCTGCTCCCAAATACTAGAACAAGTCCACACCTGGGGTAGTGTGAAGGTGTAAGTAACCAAAAGAATATAGACCTGGGTTCAAATTCTGGCCCTGTTGCTTTCTAGCTTTGTGTTTTTGCAGGAAATTACTTATCCTCTCTGAGACTCTACTTCTTCTTCCATAAAATGAGCTTACTAATCGTTCCTAGCTACGGGACTGTTATGAGGGTCAAAGGAGGCAGCGCCGAGACAGGACTGCGGCAATAGCTTGGACTCTGGAGTTGACGGTCCTCGTCTGAACCTCAGCTCCGCCCCGTAGTAGTTGTGTAGCCCGAGGTGAACGCCTTTACCTCTTGGTCCCTCCCATTCTTCATCTTCAAAGTTAGGCTAATGATACTTAACTCACAGGCTTGATGTGAACAAAACAGGAGGTCACCTATATAAGGTGGCTTCCAAGCTCGGTGTTCAGTACTGACAATCACCATCATCATCATTAACAGTATCGTCACCCCCCACACCAATCTTAAGAAGTAAAAACTATTAATATTGCCATTTTGGAGACTGAAAGAGGAGATGAGATCGAATGAGGAAGAGGAGACCAGACCAGAAGAGGAGATGAGACGAGACCAGACCAAACCAGATGAGGAAGAGGAGACCAGACTGGACAAGGAAGAGGAGACCAGACCAGATGAGGAAGAAGAGACGAGATCAGACCAGACCAGATGAGGAAGAGGAGACCAGACCAGAGACCAGACCAGATGAGGAAGAAGAGACGAGATCAGACCAGACCAGATGAGGAAGAGGAGACCAGACCAGAAGAGGAAGAGGAGACCAGACCAGAAGAGGAAGAGGAGACCAGACCAGAAGAGGAGATGAGACGAGACCAGACCAAACCAGATGAGGAAGAGGACACCAGACTGGACAAGGAAGAGGAGACCAGACCAGATGAGGAAGAAGAGACGAGATCAGACCAGACCAGATGAGGAAGAGGAGACCAGACCAGATGAAGAAGAGACCAGACTGGAGAAGAAGAGAGTGCTAAGTTGTTAGTATGCAATACGTCATTCAGACCTCATGAATCATCCTGTAAGATAGGTATTGTTCTTTGCCGTGTTTACAGATGAAGAAACTAAGGCTTAGAGAAGTTACATAATCCACCCAAGGTAACACCTTAACTCATGAAACTGAGTATCAAAACCGGGCCTGACTCCAGAGTCTCTGTTCTTAGCCATTATGCAAGTCAGATACCTTCTTTCTGCCTATATGGTTGTTCCCCCAGCTTCCTCCAAAGGTGTCCTCAGGCTGACCCTGGGGCTGAGCCACAGCTGTTGTCGCAGTGATTTCCAACCCCAGATTTCATTTTTACTGTCCATGGGGGGAGGGGCACAGTCCTGGGCTGGAGGGCGGAAATCGGGCTTCTTATGCTGTTCCATCTCTGGCCACAAGAGGGCGAACTCTCAGCGGGCATCTCTTGCACTAGGCCTCACTTGCCTCATCGGTAACATGGGAAGAATAATCCTCCTCCTGGTGCCTGCAAAATTACTCTTTTTTGAGATCATATATGAAAGAAATCTGCATAAAGGATTAGCACTTATTAGGCTATGTATAGATCCAGCCCCTAACCAAAGTTCCAGACTTAATTCCCAAAAGTTCCCAGCAAACTTGGAAAACCCCCAAAGGATCCTCACCTCCCTGCGTTTGTTCATGCCTTTCCACGTATCTGAAGGGCCTCCTCATCTTCATCTACCATAATCCTACCTGTCCAGGCCTAGTTCATAGGCTTCCTCTAGAAGGTGTTTGTGGACACTGTCCTTCAAGTGATGCATTTCTCCTACCTAATCTTTGGCTGTAAGCACTCAAGACAGGCATCCCCCCTAGCCCTACCATCTAATTACTGATGTACAGGACATCTCCTCTATGGAGGGCATGTGCTGGTTTTTGCTTGCCTGATATCTTCTCCCCCCTTTTAGTAACAACTTGATTTTCCTCTGGTGAACAACCTTCCCTCACTTTTAATCCGTATGATTTGGATGGGGTCAACCCCACTTCCAAATCCAGACGTAGGCATGTGACGTAGGCCTATTCAGAGTTACTATCATGGTGAGGGGCAGGTGGCTCAATTAAGAGCATTGAGAATTACTCCTAGGACTTTTGCTAGGACCATTGGCATAAAAGGGTCTATTTTTGCTACAATTGGATGTAAACATGGAGCTGTGAGGGGCTTTCACATGGAAAAAATAATTCCTGAGGATGAAGCCACCCAAGAGCTTCTATAACCAAGAGCAGGCTATAGAAAGAGACCTAATCTGGAGGATAACATTGTTGGAATCTGTTGGATCTTAGATTCAACTGTTCCTGAAACTGTGAATAGAAGTAACCTGCCTAGGACAAATAAATTCTGTCCCCTGCCCACATTCTTTTTTTCTTTTTAAGCTAGCTTGTGTTGGGTTTCAATAATGTAGAATTGAAAGATAGGAACACACATCCTCAATTTGTTTATGAACTTTAAGGGGCCAAAGGCCTGATCTTTTTAACTTTACATCTCTTAGCATGGTACCTGGCAAGACAGAGGGTCCCCAAGGTGTGATGTTGATTCATTCAGTCTCACTTTCCCTGAGCACCTACAATGAGCTGAGCCAAGCACTGAGACCACAAGCAATAATTAGACGTAGTCCTTGCCCTTGAGGAGTTCTGAATTTAGTACAAGGAGGGGGTATGAAAATGAGCACTTTATAATATAACTTGGGCTATAATAGACATCTCAGCAAATTTTCGGGATTCCGGAAGGTTGGAGGTTTGGGGAGATGGGATGTGGGAAGGCTCCACGGAGGAGGTGACATCTGAATCGAGTTCTTAAAGAACAAATAGAGGTTCCTAGGCCTAGAGAAGTGGTCATGGGGAAAAGGTGTCCCAGGGATGAGGTATTTCGGAGAGAACAAGATTATATATTAATAATTATAAAATTACTAATAATATCACCATCTCCTCTTCTTCCTGTGGCCTCTTCACAAGCTCCTTCCTCTTTCTTTTCCTCCACCTCATCTATCAGTGGAAACATCATAGTGGTTAAGAGTAGAGGCTCTGAGCTCCAAAAGGTTTTGGTTCTGCCAGACAGGGTGGTTCTCCCAGTGACTGGGGAGGCTAAGGTGGGAGGATCACTTGAGCCCAAGAGTTCAAGACCAGCCTGAGCAACATGCTGAGACCCCATCTCTACAAAAATAGAAAACTTAGCCAGGTGTGGTGATGCACGCCGGTAGTCCCAGCTACTGGGGAGGCTGAGGCAGGAGAATCATTCGAGCCCAGGGGTAGGAGGATGCAATGAGCTGTGATGACAACACTGCATTCTAGCCTGGGCAACAGAGCAAGACTTTGTCTCAAACAAACAACAAAAAGAGATTTGGTTCTGCCACTTACTACACACATGACCTTGACCAAAAATCACTTACATTTTACAAATAAGGACAATACTGTATTTGCCTTATAAGATTGTCAAGAACATTAAACAAAATTACAAATATAAAGAATGTGTCTGGCACAAGGTAATTGTCAAGAAATATTGGCTGCTATTATTTTTATTGTCATAATCAAGAAACTTCAAACACTAAGGAATGAAAAACCAAACTGGAACTGGCATGAACAGTAAGGAGATTCTTCATTGCACATGACGGGGAGTCTTGAAGTGCAGCAGGCTCCAGGCGTGGAACACTCAGGGCTCTGAATTTCTCTGCAGTGCTCCCAGCTCTGCCCTCTTCTTTGTATTGGCTCTGTCTTCAGGCTTCCCTCATTGTCCAGAGATGGCTTTGCCACCAAGTCCTGTGCAATTGTGATGACATTCTTCCTTATTCACATCCAATCATGGACAGAGGACAAAACCTCCTCCCTCAAACAGAAATATAAATCTGCTTAGGCCAGCTTAACTCTTAAGTGCCTACTCCTGGACCAATGACAGTGGCCAGGGCAATTCCCTGTGATGATTGGCTTAAACCTGGCTTCCTGATCCGGTCACTGCTATGTGAGGTTGGGTGGCCACTATTGGCTTAGACTAATTGGGATCCGCCCTTATGGTTAGAGATGGGTTCCAGCTTTCTCCTGATCACGTGGCTGCATTAGGCAAGGGAAGAAGAATTCTGTTAGAGAGAAGGAGGGAATAACTGGATGTTGCATGGACAACCAACAGCGTGGCGTCTTCTGCGATGATTACTGTTTCTCGTTTTTTGCATGCTAGTTCACATGGGTCTCTTGAGGCTTTGGCTCAAATGGTTCCTTATCAGTGAGGTTTTCTTGACTGTATAAGTCAGTCAGTAAGTCAGTCTGTCTCTCTCCACTCACAGAGACAGATCTGTTTTGTTTTATAATAAAAAGCTGCTCATGTGAAAAAAATGTATTCCCATTTTGCAGATGAGGAACCTGAGGCTCAGAGAAGGTGAGCAACATGTTCAAGGTCACAGAGCAAGCAAGTAGTGGACTGGGTTTCAGACCCAGATCTATAGAACTCCAGACTCAAGCACTTAACTGCTGGTCCCTCTTTGCTCCTTTTTATTTTCCTAATTAGGGGAGGGAGGTATGAAACAGCTTATTATCCGGGAAACCATCCTGGATCCTGGTGGCCAGAGTTGGCCCAAGCCTCTGGGTGAAGTTTATCCTCCTCCCATCCATGGTGACAAGTTGAGACCAGCCTAAGGCTAGAGAGCAGGCTTGTCAAGCATTAGCAAGAAGGGGCTGCCAGTGTAGACATGAGATCTACTAGAGAGGGCTTTTACTCCAGTAGGGTGGTGGGGATACTTTCATTGTGGTGGGTGGATCTTCACCCAGATCCTCTGTTTCTTTCCATCATAGCTCTGAGGTCATGGAATGATAACGCCTGCAGCCGGAAGTTCCCCTTTGTCTGCAAGATCCCGTCCCCGACCATTCACTGATCCAGCCAGTCTTGCCCTCCTGGAGTGAGCTCAACTCCAGCATCATCTTGCAGCTGTGCCTGGTGTAGACGTGCCACTGAGTAAATGTAAAACACACATGGGAGGTAAATCTCTCAGACAGAGGTTTTAAACAGGTAAATCTTAATAGCGCAGGTAGTTACTCACTCGGCCAAGAGACAGGAAACGCAACTCAAACTGGCTTAATACATGAAAAGTGGTGGTGGATTTATTGGCCCAAGTCACAAAAATGCAGAGGTTGTTCTGGATTCAGAGTTGAATCTCACTGGCCTGACTTGGGTCACGTGCCCGTCCCTGAAGCAATCGCTTTGGCAATTGCTGATCGACTGGGCCCTGCTTGGATGCACATCACTGGGGCAGAACTGGGTGTAGTCAATTTCACCTGAGGGGCTGGGAGTGGGAAAATGGGGGGGAGGGGGTATTGGTCAAAAAGTACAAAATTTCAGTAATAAGTCAAATAAGTTCTAGAGACCTAAAGTACAGCACATGACTATAGTTAATAATAATGTATCACATCTTTACTCTTAAAAGTAGAGCTTAAGTGTTTCCACCAAAAAAAAAAAAATTGCTAAAACAGTAGATCTTAAGTGTTCTCACACTTACACACAGAAAAGTAAATATGTGAGGCAGTGGATAGGTTAATTAGCTTGATTGTGGCAATCATTTCACGATGTATACATATATCAAAGCATCACGTTGTACATTTTAGCTATACACAATGTTTGTCAATCTTAACTCCATTAAATAAATAAAATTTATATATACATATACATTTACATACATATATTTATATATACACACATGTTCTGAACCACATGGGCTCAAAGAGGAGATTGGTTCTCAAAATAAAACAAAAATATTACCAAACTCATAAGTTGCTGGTGGGAATGTAAAATGATGAAGCCACTGTGGGAAAGAGTTTGGCAATTCCTCAAACAGTTAAAATAGAATTACCATGTGGCCCAGTAATTCCACTCCTATGTCTGTACCCAAGAGAATTCAAAACAAGTATTCAAACGTGAATGGTCATAGCAGCGTTATTGATAATAGCAAAAAAAAAAACAAAACACACACACATTAAAAAAAAACATGGAAGCAACCCAGTGTCCATCAACAGATGAATTAATAAAATATTCCACACAATGGAATATTATTCAGGTATAAAGAAGAATGAAATGCTGATGTACACTACAACCTAAATGAACCTGAAAAACATTATGCTGCCAGTCACAAAAGACCACATATTATATGATTCCATGTAATGTCCACAATCGGCAAATCTATGGACATAGAAAGTGGATTACTGGTTGCCAGGCAATGGGCAGAGCGGGGAATAGGGAGTGACTACTAATAGCTATGAAGTTCCTTTTGGGGATGGTAAAAATGTTCTGTAATTAAGTAGTGACAATGGTTGCACAACACTATGAATGCACAAGAAGTCACCGAATTGTACAATTTAAAGCGGTTAAAATGATGAATTTTACATTATATGAATTTTACCTCAATTTTTTTTTAAAAAAGCTGCCAGAAGAAAAAGTGCCTTCAGGCAGGAAGAACAGTAGATATTTATTAATAGAAAGAGCATTGAACAGAGAGGCAGGAGGCCTGGGTTCTAGTTCCCTTTCTCTGAGCCTTATTTCTGCTTTGGTGTGGACTAGGTGGGGCGGGGCTAAGGGAGTAAAAATCTGGGCCCTCGGACACCAGTAAGAAGTCAGAAGGAGAAAAAAATATACAAAAAACCCCCATCGATTAACGTATGGTGAATTATGCTGATTCTCAGATTTTGCAAGAACATTCTACTGAAAAGCATGTTAAAATGGGACTTTTCCTATTGCTTCAGATTGGCCCTGGGGCCTACAATTGAAAACAACAGGCATTAATTATCTCTCATTCTGAAGAGAGCAATGAACAAATGGAGCCCCACGACTTCCCCCAGAGCTAATATAATGGTTTGCAGAGCTGGCGCTTCTAGCAAGAGCCACATGAGTGTGTGAGGGCAAAGGACAGTGAGCGTGTTCCTCACTGGAGTCAGAATCCAATGACATCATATCTGTAGAGGATTTAAGCAGCCCCTGCACGTAGAGCTGTATAGGAATAGGTTAGGTAGCATCAGTTAGGGGCATTATTATTGTATTGGCTGGCTCCTGCCGTGTTAACAAGGCCCCCAAAGCTCGGTGGCTTAAAACAGCCGTCATTTATTATAACACACGCGTCTCCGGGTCAGCTAGGGTGTGGCGGATCTGCCCCGGCCTCTGCCGGGCAGCTCTGCCCATCCCTGCAGATCTCGAGGACAGCTAGAGTGGCTCTGCTTCATTTCCTTCGGGTGGGCGGCCTCGCTGGGGCTTGCCCTCCTCAAGGCACAGGCACAGGAGGGCAGGCGGAAACAGGCGAGCTCAGAACTGCCATTGGCCAAAACTAGTCACGCAGCCAAGCCCAGAGTCAAGAGGTGGGGACGAACACTTGCCCTCGTCGAGGCCACGGCAAGGGCGTGGGTGCAGGGAGGGTTGCAGAATCAAGGCCAAGCATTCAGAAATGTTACACAATTATTGTCAGAGAAAGGCAGGAGCTGTAGGACAGCCCAGATGGCCACCATGCCCAGTGTCAGCAAGACAGGAACAGCATTGGAGCAGCAGCTGCCAGCAGAGGCTCAGGGAGACCACCCCACCCCTCTCCAAGCAGGGCCTTCAGTGATGGAGGAGATCTGGGTGAGTCCAAGCACTGCCCAAGAAGAGCCCATAGACCCTCTGCTGGAAACCAACCTGTCGCCAGGCCACCAGTAAATCCAGATGAAGTTGGAGGAAGGCCAGGAACTTCTCTGTAAGAAGATAGCCACCAGCTGGGCGCAGTGGCTCACGCCTGTGATCCGAGCACTCTGGGAGGCTAGGGAGGGAGGATCGCTCAAGGTCAGGAGTTCGAAACCAGCCTGAGCAAGAGCGAGACCCCCGTCTCTACTAAAACAATAGAAAGAAATTAATTGACCAACTAAAAATATAAATACAAAAAATTAGCTGGGCGTGGTGGCGCATGCCTGTAGTCCCAGCTACTCGGGAGGCTGAGGCAGGAGGATTGCTTGAGCCCAGGAGTTTGAGGTTGCTGTGAGCTAGGCTGATGCCACGGCACTCACTCTAGCCTGGGCATCAAAGCGAGACTCTGTCTCAAAAAAAAAAAAGCAGTGACTATGGAGTCAGAAAGATTGAATTCAATCCTAAACTCTACCAAAGCCCGATCATGTGACCTCGGGCAAATCATTTCCCTTCTGAGAACCTTGGTCTCCTTATCTGTATAATGGGTAGAAAATAATCATGTAAAGAATAAATGAGGTGTTGAACGGAAGAGACTTGGCGCACAGTAGGAGCTCAGTATGCGAAGGCCGTTACCAGTGTTAGTAGAAGTAATAGTGTTTTACCCCTTGGGTTTCCTTGCCAGAAGAGCAGGTTGCATTTATCAAATAAAAGAGGATTCAGAGAAGCAATTTCCTGTCCTAGAGGTCAGCAAACTTTTTCTACAAAGGGACAAATATTAAATATTTTGGGCTTCATGAGCCACTGCAACTGCTAAACTCTGCCACTGTTGTGCAGAAGCAGCCACAGACCACGTGAGTGTGGCCACGTATTCCCACAAACTCTGTTCACGAACGCCAAAATCTGAATTTCATAGCATTATCACGTGTCACAAAATATTCTTTTGATTTTTTTCAACCATGCACAACAGTTCAGTCACTCTGAGTCCTGGGCATGGCCTGCCCTTCGTGCCACCGGAGATGAGGACTTCTTTGTCTGCAACCGAAGAGGCTCTCTGGCTTCCACGCCTGCAGCAAGGACCTGTCACTTGCCGTTCGCTGTTTATTCTCTTTCTGTCGAACACGAGAGCCTTTTAGCAGTAGTCATCCAATCCACTTACCCTTATAGCGCTTTTCTCTATTCATCTCAGCTACTCAATGCACTTCTCCTGCTAAGAGTTCACTCTGCCTGGTACACGCCCAGGCCCACCCCAGGAGGTTTTAACAATGGGACTAGCACCTGGTGCTGTCTGCATTCCACCCATCACCAGTGATGGGGGAGGGGGGGCACACTCCCTACCAGCCTGGCAGGAAGTGATCCAGCTCCCAGGTGCCATCGTCCCAGGTGCCTGCTGTCCTCAGACTGCTCCTGCTGGCATCTGTGGTTGCAGACTGGGTTCTCTGGAGGCAGTTGCTGAGACAGAGTTGAGATTACGAGATCTTTATTAGGGATTAATACCTGCGGGCGGTAAAAAAGGCAGAGGGAGAAGTGAAATTGAGATTTGGCCTGACAAATTCTCGGCCAACCTGGCAGGGGGGATCTGGAGCAAATACCGTGTTTCCCTGAAAATAAGACCTACTCGTAAAATAAGCCCTAGCAGGATCTCTAAGCATTCGCACAATAAAAGCCCTACCCCGAAAATAAGACCTAGTGATGGGCGAGGCTACGCAGCGCATGTGCACAACCCATGCTTTTCATCTAGAAGCGGTGAAGATGATGAGTAGCCCTTCTCCTCTGCCCCATTGTGACAGCTACTATCCCAGAGGTGACCGGAAAGCTGCCGGCAGCCACTCCAACAAGGTGGGCTCCCCCTGTCGGGTCCCGGCCACCCTGTGCGTGCTGCAAGCTGAGGCTTTGAGGGGCAAATAACACATGCCCTGAAAATAAGCCCTAGGGTGTCTTCTTGAGGAAAAATAAATATAAGACCCTGTCTTATTTTCAGGAAACACAGTATTGGCCGTAAGACCGGACCACGTGGTGCGAAACTATCCAGGCCGTTAGACCAGTTCTTCACCAACCGGCCAGAAGCAGGCTTCCCTGGGAAGGGCGTGGCTTCGGTGGTGGTGGTGGTGGTGGTGGTGGTGGTGGTGGTGGTGGTGGTGGTGGCTTCGGTGAGGTTGACCCTGAAGGAGCTGACAGCTAGAGACCCTCTGCCCTCCTCCTCAAAGGGGCATCTGGGTGGTGCCTCTCCATGTCACCACATCTGGAATCAAAAAGACATGGGTTCAAATCCCACCACTGCCACTTCCTGTGTGACGCCCCACAGAAGTGGCTTAACCTCTCTGAGTTTCCGTTTTCTCTGTAAAATGGAAACACAGCCCTCCCAGCTCCAACTGTGATTTATCCGGCACCTTTGGGACACGAGGAGTTCTGCACTGGCGACTTTTCCAGAAAACTAAAATTTATTCCTTGAGCATCACACCACTATCTCTGTTTTTTCCATTTTGGATGGGACTCTTTCTAAACCCTGTTACCACGTGTCCCTGCTTCCTTAAACAGAAGATATTCAAGAGGGTTCACCTTTTCTGGGTGACTCAGGGTGACATGGGCTGCATCTACTTCGGGTAGTTTTGCCACCTGT